TCGTCATTTTAATCATCGTCATTTTAATCATCGTCATCGTCATTTTAATCATCGTCATTTTAATCATCGTCATTTTAATCATCGTCATCGTCACCGTCATCATCATTGTTGTTGTTGTATTGTTGTTATTAGAAAAAAACCTCCTTGCCTGCTGAGCATTGGCTGCCTGAAGTTCTTCATGATCGTCCTCAACCGCATCTTCTTCCTCCGATGTATCGGCTTCTTTGTCATTCGGAACAAAGTCTTCAGACAAAGTATAAAAAAATGTCCTGAGAAAATGTCCTGATCCATTTAGTTCTAGGCTAGGGTTCGACAAACAGTCGCAGGTGCAATCATAGCAATGCAGTTCATTTGTGTTGGCAGCAGATCACCATATAGCCTCAGTCTTATAATGCTAGCCATAAACAATAATTACCCTATTGACACCCATATGGCTAGGCCTACTCTAACAGTGGCATTCAGCACTGCATGCATTTTCCACAGTGTGTGTGGCCCTAGGCCTAGTCTAGTATTTCAGGATCAAAATTACCCTGACCTAGGCCAGGCCTACCTACTATAATTCCTGCAGTTATATGAAGTTATACCAGTACGTACCACATGAACTCATGTCATTCAACATCCAAATTACTTCTTTAGAGGTGTATTTTGCCATTTTACTGCAGGAGAGAAATGCCTATGTCCGATGAACAATGGTGTAAAAATGCGTATCTCAAGAGAAAAAATGCCTAAGTCAAGTTAATGAGTTAAGCAGAAATGCTGTTTGTTGTGCTTCCTGCAACATGATTGGTTGACTGACTTAAGCATTTGTGAAGATTGTGCAGTTCTCTATGGAAAGTTGATTTAGGCAAAAATCTCAATTTGGCCAAAAAGTGAGTTAGGCACTTATGTTATTAGTGTGACGATAATTTAGTAAGCAAAAGCTAAAATGTCAACCTTAAGTGAAACTGCCTCTAAGCCTATATATATTTCATTTATATATGAAAAATGTATACATTATGTTATTTATCTACTACATATTTAATGGTTAGATTTAAGAAACAAGATGCCGGAGTATAATAAATAGTTAATAATGTAATGTAATACATACAAACAAACAAACAAACAAACAATAACTTGCCTTATAATACAAAGAGTAACTTATACAAACAATAACTTGCCTTTCGTTATGTATTATAACTTGCCTTTCATTGTACATTATAACTTATACAAAGGAAAGAAATCATCCATAATAGCATTTATAGAGTAATTATAACTACTGTACTGCATGAATAGTAGCCTAAGTTTGTGCTCATCCTGTCTTTACTTCTGAGAATTGTGTCTGAAATAAAGCAGTTTACCAAATGAGTTTTCAGCTGATTTCACTTTATTAGTTTCTGAATTTTACTTTAGAAGTAGAAGTAAAGGGCAAATTCTACAGATTTTCTGTGTTGAGACCCTAAAAATATTTGCACACCACAGTTCAACCTCAACACATAAAATAATATACATACAAACACATATGTGTATTATATATATTTATATATATATATACACAACCACCTTCTGAAAAATATTTTAAATATTTTTTTTTATCAAGCAGTAACAATACCGAAAAACAACAATGCTTCAAAAAATGGCTGGATCTTGGCAGAGATATAATGATAGATACATAATGAGACTCATAATACTATAATTGTAGTACAATTGTATATAATTTATAAGGCATTAAAGAAGAATCTGCGAGTGCGGAGAGCTTCTTACTCAACTGGAATTTAAGCATTTGCTGTATTATATGCATATGACGTCAATTTCACATATTTCACTGGAAGATGAAGAATTTCACTGGAAGATGAAGAAACCCATATTTAACACCAGATTTTGATAGTGGGATAAGGGAAACAGGGTGGCCTGCTGATACGACTCTAAGTCATCGGGTTTAGTACTTGTGATGTCAAATTTTCAGGTTCTACATCTTGAAAAATAATGCTACTTAGTGAATATAGACTTATTACATTCTTCTGTTTTATACTACCACAAATCTGCTTTGACTTCAGGTGAAAATTTACATTTTTTATGATATAGACCTAAGATAAGTGCACCTTTCTTATCAAAATAAACATTCTGAGATATTTGTTGTAGTACTGTAATATAAAATCATTTATAAATGAATATGTAGGCCTACAGAAAGTAAGAAAGATGTGAATTTGTTGAATTATAAAAAGGTAAGGAAAGAAACATTACAAATATAAGAAATTCAAAGGAAAGAAAAGATAAGAAAGTATGGATGGAAAAGGGAAAAAATACAAAGAAATATAAGGAAATAAATGGAAAGATATTTTTCAATTTCAATTTCAATATTTATTTGCTCCAAAAGCCATTAAGAGCTATTATCCACCATACAGACATTTTTAAATACTTAACATTTACAATAGCCAATAAAGTAACCCTAACCTAACCCTAACCCTAACATAGATAGACATGGAATAATAAAGGAAAAGGAAAGATATCATAAGAAATATAAGAATATTAAAAAATGAATTAGAAAAAAGAAAAGGAATTAGAAATAAAATGAAATAAGTAATCTATGAAAGAAACATTAGAAATATAAGAAAGTTAAAGGGAAAAAAGATTAGAAAGTAAGGATGGAAAAGGGATAAAGAAATATAAGAAAATAAATGGAAAGATATTTTTCAATTTCAACAATTGTAAAATTGACAAAGCATACTAAAACTTATCTACCATATGGTCGTTATTAAAACAACAATTAAATATCAATAAAATTTACAATTTTTAAAACAAGGACAAATGAATACAATACTTGAAATTACAATAAAATTCCAACATGGAAAGTGATTCAATTTAAAAATGTCAAAAAGTATGTGTTTTAAAATGTCATTAAGATTGTAAAGTATATTGATAAATCAACATAAATATAAGAACATTCTCACGCTGGTAATAATATAATTGTGGATTGCCGTAAGTATAGTAATTCAATGTTTAGGATATTGAATGAAATAATGTAGTTATTTGTTTAAAAATTTATTTATTTATTTGCTTTACACCAATTGATAACAATGCAAAACTGATTAAATCAAGAATGTAAGGACATTATTTGAGAAACTGTGAAATTTATTTATGTCATAGGAAAACAAACGAAAATCGAAATTTGGAGAATTTGGCAGATCATTTTGATATAAATTCAAAATAATGTGGGTCCAAGGACTGTGTCTACTGTATGTACCCCACAAATATTAGGTAACTTATCAGATACACAATGATTTAAAGAGACAAATTGCATTCCAATCATAAGGTAATTGGAAATTCAAATTAAATCTTTACCTCTAGCACCATAATTTTTTTTTTCTATGGGTGGCGCCATGATTAGCCCAACGGGAAGTCCAATGTCTCCACGGGCGGGGCGGGAGCGATGTCCCTAACAATCACAGTCGGCGTGGGTTGTTGGGCGTCGCGCTTTCTTAGTGATTATTCTGTTGCATAACAACTCCCTGGTGAAAGTAAAAAAGCAGGTAAAAAGCGGTAGGTATAGAATTTCACAAAAAAAATGTTCATGTTTAAAAGCATGTTTCTATGTTAAACCTGTTTACTGATAATAATTGTATTTTGTAAGTGTTGATGAGAAACATTAAATCAACTTTCATTGGCCTAAAAGTCTGGAGTAATACAATCATGAAAAACCAACCAACAACAACCCCACACCACCATCCAGTAAATATGTTTGCTGCCACCGACGGTCGATCATGGTAATCGCGCATGCATTTAATTCATTTACCTTTTTTGCAGAAATTATCGTAGTACGATGATGAATAATCAAATATATATTCTTGAGTAAACATTTATTATATTATATCTTTATTTCTTTTATCCATCTGTCATAAACCAGCTGAAAAAGTCAACCCTCGCTGCTTGTAATAGTTAGGCCACTGGTTACGGTTTTATAAACATGTATTTGAAATTCTTGAGTGCGTGAATAGCAAGTTGCATGTACAAACAATATTTCTTTTTGCCATATATTTGTGTTAATTTTTGTAAATGCTAAAAAATAGTGTATAATTTTGATTGAAAAATTTTACTGCAAATTACATTGGTCATGTAGCTAGACTTAATAAATACGCAATGACCCAAACATTTATAAATTTTTTCAGTATCCTTTGACCCACAATTCTGAAATTGAAATTTGGAAAATTAAAAAAAATTAAATAAATTTAAAAAAATATATAAATAAAGAAAATATGTCATAAAAAAAGTCTATTGTGCTTGCATTCTCAGAGTAATTGCAGTGTTCGACAAAATGTTGGCGCAATTTATGACGAACTTTAATATTCTTATTTCTGTTGGTTACGCACCGCTGATTCGCAATGTTTGTCATCACTTCAAGATGTCTACCGATTCGTGAAAAAGGCCTATTAGAACATCAAAAGTACAATATTGTTTGATTTTACTGTCATTGTTAAATAGGCGTATAGTTCCACTTTATAGTAAAAGTAGACCTGTATGAATTCTCTTGTTTACAGTGTATTCATTTTTGTATTGCAAGTGTTGTCATATAAATAGATTACCAAAGACTAGCAGTAGTGTGTGTATACATGTGACTTGGCCTAAGTCCTGAGAAAGATGCCTTGCTTGATAAGGCTATATAATGACACGACTCTTATTAATGAGTGGTACGCCTATTTTTCTATGACAGTATTATAAGAATATACTGTACTCGATCTTTGCCTAGCTAATCATCTGCTAATCAAGTACTGTTTTCGCTACTCACACACTGCTCACCTGTGA